GGCGAAAGATGGAGGCCATTCGGGCGCTGCCACATCTCAGACCTCGCGCTCAAGCCAAGACGGCGCAGGACCGAGGGCACACATGACCGATACCTAAACACGAGCAACAATGGCTCAAAAGTTGCGGAACAGCAGGCGACCTCATCGAACTCTCTAAGAGAGATGATGGAACAACTGCTGAAGCAAAGAAGAAAAAGAATGAAAATGGCCCACCGCGCCCTTGGCCCGGAACTAGCGACAGGGAGTGGGTACCTCCCCTCGTCGCGTGTCTGAGGCGGAGAGATAATTCACAATTCCGATTATTCCTCGCAAGACATCAATAGGAACGTCGCACACTGGCGGATAGCACACGTACAGAGGTTGATGAATTGCAAGATAGGCTGAAATCGCGCCTGAAGCTTCAGGGCAAAATATGAAACAAGCTAGGGGTGGTACTCCCTACCCCACGGAATGGACACGGTCGCCATACGCGCGAAAGAGATATATATCAAGAACGATGACAGCGTGTAGTATGACAGGATGTGATGGCAAAGGGGTCACCCTCAGCAGCACATCTATTATTTTATGGCGCAATACACGGAATTCCTTAGTCCGGAATGGACGCCATTCTCAACTCGATGGTTCATAGGTACCTCAAGGGGGTGGCCTTTGAATGGTTCCGGCAAATTGGAGGCCCGCTCTATAAGGCGTGGCCGACGTTGAAAAGCTTGTTTCCTCGCCCCGCATGTTCGACGAAGACACGGAGTGTCATGGCCACTCTCCTTGCTGAGAAGCATAGCTGGAAGTCGGAATCTGGTCAATGACCTTCGTGAAGAGATTTCGAACCGAGATCAGTCTCACTGTCGGGACCAAGTTTGCGAGCGACATGACTGATCGAAGTGATGTGCCCGCAACAACCTGTCGATCCATTGATGCTTTGTCGCTATTAGATAGGGGCGTAGAGACCGCCTTGGGAAGGAGGGCTTGTTCGCCAAGGTGAGCAAGTCGAAAAATATGCAATCAAGGGCTGGAGGCCGAAGAGCCGGCAGTCCAAAAAGGGAGCAGCAGAGCCGGCTGCGCCATAAGAACCTCCCCGATCGAAGGGAAAAGAGGCTCTGGCCGTAGAACTCGCCGCGGCGCCAACCAGTTCGTTCAAAAGCCGAAACCCAGGCAATTTGAACCAGCGCGCACAACCATGCGGCATATGATTTCAAAGCAGACCGAGGTGGTAGCTTACGCTTCGACACTCTACTAAAGTGGGCGATTAAGTTACCGAGCACCCAAGCCTGAAGAGGCAGACAAAACCGTGACGCAGGTTACTTGCATATCACAGATGTCCTTGGGCACACACAACCAACTGCTACGTCCTCAAGGAAAACTCTAGGCCCTCTACGACGCGGGGGTTTGAAGAAAGAGAAGGCCCAAAAAGGTGTACGCGACATGGGTCACTTTGAGCTTTTGGGACGGTCTCCGCAGAGGTTCAGCCCGGCGCGGATAATTCTATCCCAGGCGGATTTGAGATCACTAACCGAACGATGCCTCACAACCAGCGGGAGAAGGGTTTTGGGTTCCAGCAGAAACTCTGCCATCAGGGCAACTGAATGTGGGTCCATCCGGGCCCCTTCGACAGATCGAGCAGTGGACGGAGCACGCCTTCAAGGAGGCTAAGAGGAAAATATTGCAACGTCTGTCACCGCCATCCTGGCTACAGACGACGCGAGCGATGACTGGCCTTTAACCGAATCTGAAGAAGACACACAACGTCTTCGCCAGCGAAGAGCGGAAAGGATTTGCAAAACAATATCCGCGCGAGGAAGGAAAACCAGGGCAGAGCTCCCGGCGAGGCCCAGCCGCAGCAGTCCGCTTCCCCAATCCGGATGAGCCAAGTTCAAGCGCGCCAGCCTGTACCGTTCAACGTGCTCATCGGAAGTGATAAAGCATACCCGGCGCGAATCACCGTGTACGACCTCCTCCGGTTGTCTAGGCCTACCGCGGGAAGCCTTACAAGAGGCGTTGCGTGACGCAGAGTGCGTTTCTGCGACCCATTTCTCGAAAGAAACGGAGACTCGAACAGGGCTGTACAACTGCTGCCAAGTCTCCGAGAGACAGATCCCTGCATCACTTTCAACCCGCCGAGGACATGCTGCATCAGAACACGTCCCGACGCCGCTGTACTTCAGGGATAACGTCGCTCGCGAAATAGAGCGGATCCAGGTTGACCCGGTGGTCCGCCAGCTGAGCATCGTGCCCTGAAGCTAATCAAGCTTGGGGATTATATGTAAGTATTACGTCGGAAGCGCCTAGCCGTGCGACCGTCGCTACCATCCTTCGCTTCAAACGCCAACTGGACTGTCGGCCACATCGGCAAAAATCCGCACTGAAATGTCGGATAGGCGACATGAAGACGAGGTGACGTGCTACGTTATCGATGCTGAACCCTCCTACACCATACTCTGGGGGCGTTCCGTGGATTCAATGGAACCGGATCGTTCCATCCACAATTACACCAATGTTTTGAAGTATGTGGACGACTACGAGCGAGTAAGACGGTAGTGCCGACAAACATCCTTTCAAGGAGTCGATGAATACTTCGGCGTGGATTCGCATGCTGTACCAGGACCCGCACCGCAGAGCCACCAGTGGAAGAATGGAGAGTGGTAATGAGGCGTGACAGCGAGCTGAATACGGTGACGAGCTTAATTCTGAACGCTTTGAGTCAATTGTATTGGTTAGCGAGAGTTCCACCATGTAAGCCCACGCCGTTCAGCAGAGGAGCTTATCATGGAATGAAAAATTGCCGAACCCTTGCATTATTGTCGTGCTTGCTCCCTCGTCCGAAGATGACGCACCTAATAACTATGTCGAACACTCTACAGTGAGTCCTTCTCTAGCACTTGCCGGTATGTTCCGTCCAATAAACCCACATCTGTAACAAATGAACACTATGAGTTTTCTGCTAACTAATAATTTACAAAAAATATTGAAATAATTTTTATACCTGCATCCGAAGATTGTGGTGTATCATCAGCACCGGTACCCGGTGTGATACTCCGTCGACGATCACCCCCCGGGCTGAAGAGCCTCCTCATCTGAAAATACAATTTTCCTCATAGTTTTTAATATGATAATCTGAAAATCGGTAAGGCAGTGTAACATATATAGTTCATACCAAAATCAAGGGTCACATTCTGTATGTTTGAGAATTCTTGCCAAACGTCATCAGATGCCCCAATTGGTTCACTGTAATTATCTTCACTTTCTTCAATATTTTTTTCATTGTTATTAGGAAGAACAAAAGATCTTGGCTCTTTGTACAAAACCACCCAATCAGACATGACATTCGGATCTTTCACGTAAAAGCACTGATCAGCTTGTTCTGCGAAAATAAATTTCTCATCTGTATATACTTCTCGATGGAGATTGACTAGTGTAAATCCATAATGATCCTTTTGCTTTTTTGCAGGACACCACCGAACCTTGAACATCATGTAACTACATTGTTTTGGTTTACCAAACCCGTAAATTACCTCAACAATATCTTCTACTTGGCCATAATATAGTATGTCAGCTTGAATTGGGTTCTGATCTCTTATACTTGAAAAACATTCTTGAGCAAATAAACCCATGACCCCACTGTTCTGGGTTACCCTCCTATCATCGGTCTCTAGTGTTCGAAAGTTATATCCATTGACCAAATGCTCATTATAACGTCTCACTTCGTGATAAGGACGTTGTGCATGGAAAATAAGTTCATCTGATAATGTAGTGCCATCAAGAAGTGATTTTTCAACCTACGCCAAATAATTTGAGAATATTTAAGTGATGGTATATCATGAATGTTCAACAATTAATTGTAAAACACTTACATCAAATCTGAGCCAGTCAGAAAATTCTTTCTTATGTCTTTTCTGAATATTATGCGCTGCATTCCTACCGGTTATTTCATTCTTAAGCTTCTCCAGATGTCGCCTATATAAACAATATATAAGTTTTTATTGATAAACTATATGTAAAATGAATACTTCTCATCTATAATACCGATTTTATTTGTTACATTCGATAGTCTTCGAACATATCAAGGTTTTCCAACACATATGCATGAATTTGATCTAAGAGACATCTCGGATATTTTTCACGATTCCTCTCCTTATCGTCAACTTGAGATGTGCTTTTTTTCTTATGCATGTAACGTGAGGCAAACACAAAGCATTCGTTAGCCACATATCCTTCAGCTATCGATCCCTCGGGACAAGCTCAATTGCGAACATTGTGTTTCATGGAGCCTAAGTATCTTAAAATTATAAAAAGAGGTAATCATTAGCATGGTAATTTTAAAAATGCATATATATCTAAAAGAGGCGTTTTGGGCAAAAAACCTGCCAAAAATGCTCTTTTGGCAGGCTTTCTGCCCAACCCCCAATGCCAAATACATCAACCAAACAGCGCCAAAGTGAAAATGTCCGCGGAGGCGCAGAGTCATATTAAGTTACAAATAGATTCCTATACTATTATTAAATTGCATATTTATCCATTAAAAAATGGTAGAAATGACCTGAAGCAATTTCTATTTACAATTTAAGCGTATTTGGATTTCGGGTTCAGGTCAGCTTAAAACAGGATAGAACCCTACACTACGCGAAACCCAATGATTTCTGTCCTTATTTGCAAAACTACATCTTACATCTTAATATTTACAAAAGTACCCCTCAAGTCATCAACTTTAAAAAAATATTACCATCAAATCAATTAATCATAAACTTTGATAGGCTAATTTGTGATTATAATGTAAAAATTATCACCAAAATAGTCAAGATCTTAGCACTAAATTAATAATGATTTGTTGATTTTAGGGGCATCTTTTCGCAATCTTGCTGATTTGAGGGGGGTACCTTCACAAATCCTAAGATGTTGCGGTATATTTACAAGAACGTACCACCCTTTTATTGTTTTTGCAAAAATAGAGAAAATATGTAGAAAAAGGAAAAAAAAAGTGAAATTTCCTCCTTAATCCTTATCGTGTGACCCACAGTCACAGAGAATCGAGGAGGAAAGGAGAAATAAAAATCTTCGCAAGTCGAGACAGCAGAGGAGAAGAGAAGAGAAAGGTAAAAAAATTCCCTTTTTCTTTCATTAATTTTTTCCTGCTTAATTTTAGTTCTATTTAGTCTCTTCACTGATTGATATTTTGTGGGTTTGAGTAGAACTACAATGAATGCTATAATTAGTGAGCTATTTCTTATGTTGGAGGATTTAGTAGCGAAAATCCTGCAAAAGATTAATTCTTGCTTTATGTTATAAAATGGGTAAAGATTTCCAATGCATAAATAAAAGCATCAACTTTAAGCCAATATCCAAACAATTTGATAGCTCCAACACGAAATCTCAAAATTTGTTCTTTTTTTTAAGGATTAAGATTGTGGTTGTTCTTTGATTCTTCAGTTTGAAACTTCCTCTGGATTATCTCATACAATGCTTTGTTTTCTACTGAAATTTCCCCTTGTTTTCTACTGAAGTTTCCCCCATTCCCTTACTTATATCATTTTCATGTATAATGCTGTATAGATTTATGGCAAATTCAGAAAATTGAATGTGAAATTGCTTTCAATGTAGGATGTTTAGCCTGCTGCTAATATTTGCTTATATTTACAGTTCAAGTTGACTAAGTAAAGTGGCAGCAGAGGTATCAATGGCTATGGCAACATCTTTATCTACTTTAAACTTGCACCCTTCCTTGAAAAATCATAATCCGAAGTACTTTGGATTGAGACCAGTCACTCTGCTAAAAAAATTGAGGAACCGATATCATATTGATCGGCTGGCAGTAACATCATTCAATAGGCTCGTCATCCGGGCTACTACTGAAGGCTCGGCAAAATCAAGCCAGTCTGATGAAAAGATTCCATCCTGGGCTAGACCAGATGCTGATGAGCCTCCTCCTTGGGCTCAGGGTTCAGGCAATGGCAGCTCTTCTCAGTCGACATTTGAAATTCCCTTTTATGCATATTTATTGGCATCAGCTATCACAGCTATAGCAGCGGTAAATTTCTGGATAGTTTATATTAAACCCCTCTCAGGTTTACAATATTCATAGAAAACCCCCCTTCATTATGATTGTTATGAAATTAACTTGGACATGGGCAATTGTAATCATACGAGATGACTAGTATATGTCCTCTCATGTAAACATGTATGTGATGATTATATCTAACTTACGCCGCGGCTAAATTACTAAATTGGTATTTGTAGTAGGACACACTTTCCAATTTGGTCTTTTTATTGCTGCAAAAATTCGGTATTAATACCTTAATGTTGCCGGAGAAATTAAAAATACCAAGCTTGAAGTTTGTCCTACTATATATACCAACTTAGTAATTTATCATAATATAATGATGACATTTGACTAGGAACTGTAGATGACGACGGTAAAATGTAATTTAAAACCTGGATATTTTCTTGTCTTTTATGGAAACCATCGGGACTTTTTGGTGATTACTTTTCCTCTCCTTTCTACTGCCATTACTTGTAAACCCCACAAATTGTAATCTGAGTGCATGTTTCTTCTTGCAGATTGGTTCAGTTTTTGAGTATGTGAATCAGAATCCTGTTTTTGGGGTCTTAAGCTCAGACAGTGTATTTTATGCTCCTTTACTTGGATTCTTTGCTTTCACGGGAATACCAACATCTGTAAGTGCCGATATTTTTGTTATATTTTATATTCTCCAATTCTAAGTAGAATATGATAACATCAGTATTTGGTTTGTTAACTTGAATCTTTTGCTTAGGCGTTTTTGTGGTATAAATCTGTCCAAGTCGCTAACAAGGAAGCTGAGGAGCAGGATCGCAAGGATGGTTATCTCTAGTAACAAGTGCAAATTTCATTACCTGTACACATTACTCAACCTTCTGTATCATACAACTGGTTTTGTTCAATAACTGTTTTCTGTTTTTGATACATGGGCTGTCATTAAATTATGTTAAATCCCATGGGCAAAATTGTTCCGCAAAGGTATTCTGTTTTCAATGTAGATTAAATTTATTAACATCCTTCTCATGTTGTAGAATAGTCTATGCATCTTTATTGACTTTTATACAAGCGAATTGAATATGAGAAATGAAAATAACCTTTAATTGGATTGTTTTTATTGCATTGCTCAAATGTATCACATAATTTGAGCTTGAAGTGCCATGTATATTATTGTGACATCAGCCTATTGACATGTTTACTTGAAATACTTTTATTTATATAAGAACAATTATGTTTGGTTACTTTGTACATTTGCTATCGGGTCTTCTAAAAAACATTATTTAACTTAAATGTTTATATCCTGCATTAGCTTGGAGGAGGCTTTTTCTTGAACCTAATATTAGGGAATTAATGATAAGCCCTTGTTGTGCATAGTGTGATGAGTAAAATAACCTGAGGTTCAGAATGCAGGATTAATATCTTCCTGTATAAAGCTTAGTTGGCATTTAGCTAACTTATTTCCTCAGCCTGGTTCCTTATCCCCAAGTGTGATAAAGAGGCAATATTTATTACTGACAACTAGGAATATAAGTATTCTATTGTTTTAGGTTAGAAGCACCAAACTCTTGAAGTTTTAATCTAGATCTTACAGGCTTCATCATGAGGCCATAAGTTGACTCTCCCAGCTAAGTGAATTAGGTTAAGATTTCCCATCTCGGTCAATTCTAGTCTGCATGATGCATCTCTTACGACAATGGTCTGTAGTGCTGTCACCTTTTCGTGGTGAGTGAATATTCAGTTTTCGCGCGAGTAATGATTGTGGCTACCATTTGAAACTTCCTACATGCTTGGTTGTGGCCTGAGGTTTTTTCCACAAACATACGGTAGGTTTTTCCATAGAAATCACCTTTAAAACAGAATGAAGATGTGGAAACCACCTTTAAAGTTCAATTAATATTGACATTATATTTAAAGGAGGTTATGGTTGCAATTAAGCACCTTGGCCTATTTTTCTAGTGAAATATCCATTGTAATTCCAAAAATGCCATTAAAAGCACACATGTCGACACAAGATTTTGTTTAGGTTTTGGTAAGTAAGATGCCGTATGCCTGACACAAGTCTTGAGGTCATTTTGGGGAATTTGATTGAAATTTCATTGGAAAACAGGTCAAGGTTGTTGATTGCTCTGGAACCCTTTAAAGGCGGTTCTGTATTAATTGAACTTGAGAGGTGGTTTTCAAATTGTCACCCTATTTTAATGTTGGTTTGTGAAGAACCCTAGATATTATTGCGGTACAGATATGGTTTAAGCGAGATTGCATGATCCAACCGATGTATTATGTGATTGTGTACTAAACCAGGCCTTACGAGGAGCATGTACAAAGAAAATTAGCATTCTATCTCTGAAGTAGGATATCTCCAACTTTCGTAGGATATCTCTTTCATGGCTTATGCGCCAATTTATGAGCCCATCTGAAAATAATACCTACAACATCCCTCTCCCTCCGCCCATCATCGACCTCTTCGACATCAATGTATCCTCCTTCGGTTAGCTCATACCAACTAGAGATGCACCTCTTTGAACCCTCATCACTCGCACCTAAATCTAGCCCCCTCCATCACCACCTTATTTTCAATGCTCTAGGAGAATATTACAGAGGATAAATTACTAAGTTTATTCTTACAACTAGTTGTGCTAATATTTTTGTTAAGTATCTTATGAATCACATGCATAACTTTTTTTAATTCGATTTTAAAGGCCGATAGTCCCTTTATTTCAAAATGGTGTTGCTTGAATTTGAGCAAGTAACCATAAAGTTTGAATTACCTACTTGCATGCAATATAAGAATAGTTCTAAGGAACATTCAATATAAGAATAATTCTAAGAAACAGATGGTTTTATTTCCTACAAATTGATTTTCTGAAATTTAGTAGAGTACAAAAGTGTCAAAATTGGTATTCAACAAAATAATTTGAGGAATACAAGGAATCTTATATACACATTGCAATAGTGTAAAAATTGTAATTGTCATGGCTAAAACAAACGAAAAGTCTGCATTAGTTGTTGCATTACCCCAAAACTCAGTGATTAACTTCTTAGTACTCGGGCTTTTTCTCCCGATTCTCGTAAATGTAGATTCTTGTAAATAAAGTGAAGAGAGTATTCATTATCCTACAACATATATAAGTATGTAATTCACTCTTGTGGATAATTAAAAGCCAACTAGATAGATAAAAAAAATCTGGTTAACTACAAAATATATTTTCCCATATTCTTCGGCAGACATTTTATATTTTGGTTTTTTATGCTTTTGATTCATTTCTATGATTATTCTGTCTTCAAAATAGAATTAGTTACCTCCAATATTTCACTACATATTTAGTGAATTGCATATATTTTAACAAGCAGTATGTTAAACTAAATATATGAAATTATCTTCATAGTACTTTATTGACAGGAGTTAAACTAATTTATATAGGAAAAGGTATGAAAACAACTATAACATCAGATAGTATCTGTAACGTCATTCTCTTTTGTATACCTGACATATATTTTCATTTGCATAATGTTGCATCAATAAGGTAAATTGTGTGAAATTGATCCTTTTGACATGTATGAGCCTTGCTTTTGTGAAATTTATCAGTCGAGCTCATTTGATATACATGAGTGAAACATGCAACTTTGATGGTTCAACTTATGATAGTTTAGTGATGTTCTCATGGTTTTTTATGTTGTTGGGTACATGAGGCATGGCATAGTTGCATTTAACATGCCGTAAGATATGGCCTCATGCATTTTCTTCTCTTTAATGTAATCATTCTCATTGAAGCAATTAATTAGAATTTTCTTTATGTGGTGTGTAGTACTTTATTTTTAACCATTGTCTTAACTTGATTTTAAAAGATTGATATTCCTTTTCTTTCAAAGTTATTGTGTTTGAATGGGTGTGTAAGCCCACCCTCCCTGACGCCAAAAAAAAAAAGCTCAACCCAAAAAAGGGGGTAAAAGAAAAGTAAAGAAAAACCCCATCACACACACTGTCACACTATCAAAAAGAAACTCCATTATGATAAGTACCGACTTCTTTACTATGTCTTTAGTTGTTGATTTTCGAAGTTAGCATTAGGCATCCACTTCAAATAAATAAATAAATAAATAAAGCTTGAAACTTCCCTACATTCATGCTCTCATCTTAGTTCGCTTATTATGTTGATGTTACAGATTCTTTTAGGAAAAGCGTGAGCTCTGAGATCTACTGATAGTAAAGAAAATTAATACTTGTAAGAGAGAAATGCATGACGCTTGTGATAGGTATGAGCTGAACATTTTTTCAGAGTTTTCTACTTCTATGCACTAGCGTAAGTAGAAGTCACAATCCCACTATGCATACTATAACATAAAGTGTTCCTCTTAATGTTATAAACCAGGAGTTGTTAACTATGCATACTATAGGTCATCAAATGAAAAAATGCAATTTGTAAATTATTCCTGATTACATAATTTCCCTTCTAAATATAATCTTTAAGAGCGGATGTTTTTATACATGCCATTAGAGCTGTGCAAACGGTCGGTCGGTTCGGTTTTTATCAAATTTTGAACAACCAAACCGAACCACCCATTATTCAAAACCGAAACGAACTGTTGCAAGTCGGTTCGGTGCGGTTCGGTTCGGTTTTAATCAAGATGCATTCAAATGTTGTAGACAAATTTATTCATGTCTATTATACTACCTTTTCTTTTGCTTTATTCACAATTTATATAGGTACTAACATGCAAGGATTTTGAAAAAAAAAAGCACTAATCTAATCAAGATAAAGCGATAAAGAAGGGGATCACAAGGGCAACAACAATCAGCTGCGACTTAAAACAAAACAAATACATATATAAGCTACATGAAGGGAAGAAGCTATTTTAACATATAGACCCAAGAGTCCAAGACCAGCAACAATACTTAAGAAGCCAAGAACTAAATCAATTTTAATCATAAAATCTAATTAGAATTTATGGAATTTGTTATCTCTTCTATTTCAAACTATTAGTGCGTTTTAAAATCAAAGCAAAATACTAACCGCCGAAAACCTAGTGGATAACTTGTATAAACACAATGAGTATATATGGTGCTAGTGTATCTTTCAATCTGGGTGTGTCAATGACTTAGCACTCATCCAATTTGTGAGAATGTGTATCTTTTATGAACTAATTTGTAGGCCCCCTAAAAATCTAATTTTAATCATAAAATTTAATTAAACCAATTATTTCTCACTAACTTACAATTTAGTAGCATGCATCAAGAACTAAAAAGTTTAGATCTTCTCCTTGAAATTGAAAGCATAGATTCAAAATTAGGGTTTTTAGTTTATACCTCCACTACGGGTGCGGGTGTCCCCAAAGCAGGAGATGGATCCTGAAGAGATGGTTCGGCTTCGGGCATGAAGATCATGATGAGTGGCTGCTTGGCAACGAGTGAAGGAAATTTGAGTCGGCAGCTGAAGGAAATTCGAGTCAGCGATGAGACGGCGAGTTAGAGGCGATGACGCGCCGAGTCCCGTAGGCGACGTCGACAAGTCGGAGTCGACGAGAGAAGCTATGCTTGCGGCGCTGCGCTTGTGCTGGTGCGCGCTGCGGTGCTATCTTACGTTGCGGTCCTGTGCCTGCACCGGTGCGCGCTGCGGTGCGCCTGCGTGGGTGTGCTGCGGAGTGGAGAGAGAAAGAGAGAGTGCGGATTGCGGAACTGTGGACAGAGAGAAAAAGTGCGGCTCCGGACTTGGATTTAAGGTTTAGGTATTGAGATTTGAGGGATTTTAGTGAACGGGTCGGGTATGGTTTCTAATGGGTACATGTTAAAAATTATAGTGTTACTAGTGATGCCGTCGGTTCGGGTTAAAAAGTTTTCAGTCCGATCCGAACCGACCTACAAACAAAACCGACCTGAACTGCTAATTTTCGGTCGGTTCGGTCGATTTTTTCGGTATGGACCGAACCATGCATAGCCCTACATGCCATGCTTGAACTTTTCTTAAATTTTAAGGGTAAATAAAAAAAATTAAGTTTCTTAGATAACCCCCTTAACTTCTAAAATGTC